ATGCAGATGACACCATAATATTAGCAGAAAACCTCACAGACCTGGAACGCTTACTAAGGAAGGTCAAAGAAGAAAATACAAAGGCAGGCTTAATGTTGAACAGAAAGAAAACAAAAATAATGACCACTGAGGATCTTCACAAGTTCAACCTAGATGATGAAGAAACAGAAATAGTAAAAGAATTCCCATCCCTGGGATCAAACATTGATAGAAATGAGGATTTCACTGAGGAAATCAGAAGAAGATTAAGAATGGGGAGGGTGGCAATAAAAGAACTAGAAAAGATTCTAAAATGCAAAGACGTACAACTCAGCACAAAAGTCAGAATCATACAAGCCATCTTATTCCCTATTACCATGTATGGATGTGAGAGCTGGACAGTTATAAAAGATGATAGGAAGAAAATCAATTCTTTGAGATTTGGTGCTGGAGAAGAGTGCTGAGGATCCCATGGACAGCCAAAAGGATAAACAAATGGATTCTAGAGCAGATCAAACTAAAAACCTCTCTGGAAGCCAAGATGACCAAACTGAGGCTGTCATACTTCGGACATATCATGAGAAGGGAGAACTCATTGGAAAAGACAGTAATGCTGGGAAAGATGGAGGGAAGTAGGAAGAGAGGAAGGCCATATGCTAGATGGATGGACTCTATTAAGGAGGTAATGGGTATGGGTTTGCAGGAATTAAGCAGAGCAGTGGAGGACAGAAAGTCTTGGAGATGTCTCATCCATAGGGTCACCATAAATTGAGATTGACTCAAGGGCAATCTACAACAACAAAACATTACCCATTAAGGGAACCAGTGTGGTATAGTGGTTGTGTGTTGGACTATGACTTTGAAGATCAGGGTTCAAATCCTTGCTTATTTGTGGAAATCCACTGAGTGACCTTGGGCAAACCACAGGGGAAGGTAAAGGGAAGCCTCCTCTGAACAAATTTTGCCAAGAAAACCCCATGATAGGGTCACTTTAAGGTTGCCATAAGTCAGAAATGACTTGAAGACACAGCAGCAGTAACAACAACAACAATGCCAAACAAAATGAAGGTACATAACAACAAACACTAATCTGAGACAGTAGAAGTGGCCCAAGATTGAACACCAAATTTCATACCTGGTGCAAATTTGAACTTGGATCTTCCCTGGTCTAGCCTGGCTCTTCAGATGCACACACAGTAGATTTCCAGACAACAGAACAAACTCCCACTTGAGCTACCAGTGGATCATGGTGGTCTCATTGAAACATTCATTGAATGTTTCTACTTTTTTTCAATGTGGGAGAAAACATTAACAAAAATGTATAAAGCTATATTTATATGTAGCACAATGTACATATGACAACAGGATATTAAATGCCAATGAGTGCAGATGAAAATAAAAAAGTAAAAATAAGCAGGGTTTTATAATCCAGACACTTGATTGCCATACTGTGTACCATTAAACTTCAAAAAATTGCAACTGTTAATATGTTACACTTTGTGGGACTCCTGGCCCTATAACTGTAACCAATTAATTTTGTATGTTTCCAAACCCTGTCTATTCACAGTAGTCCATATTGCAACTGTTTTTTCATAGCTGATCTTGAATCTCGCACACACACACACCATATGAAGGAAGTTGACAATCTCTTTCTCACAGCATGACAGTCCATGAGCCCTGTTCTGGCACAAAAATTCCTCCAGTGTTAACAGCTGCACAGATGGAGAGAAGTGGAGGTGTGCAGAAGAATTTTGGGTTTGTTTTTTTTTTAAAGAAAAAAGACTGAGGAATGGTAGCACTGATGAGAAATGAGCCAGCATGGTGTAGTCGTTTGAGTGTTGGACTATGGCTCTGGAGACCAGGGTTTGATTCCCTGCTTGGCCATGGAAACCCACTGGATGACTTTGGTCAAGTCACAAAATCACAGCCTTAGAGATGGCAACGGCAACCCCCCTCTGAAGAAATTTGCCAAGAAAACATTGTGATAGGTTCATCATAAGGTGGAAATGACCTGAAGGCACACAGCGATAACAATAACAAGCACAGAAGAGAATGTAGGAATCAAATGGAGGGGAAGTGGCAGACAGAGAGAAATGGTAGCAGATGGAGAGATTGGGCTAGAGGTGGATTTGGTTTAGTACATAAAGAGAGAGCAGGGTGGAGCATGCATAAAGAGCCAGTTGTAAAAAGAATCACACACCACAAAAGAAACAACTCCTGTGAAAGGCAACGCACCAGTTGAAATAAATGGAATAAATTGGAGTTTCATAGAAAAGGCAAAATAAGAGGAACTGGAAGTACCACTTTAAAGTAGCATTTACTGTGGGTTCAGGTTGGAAGGGACTATGGTTGTGTGCTCTAAGGAGAGTGGAGCCAATCTGATTCAGGTGTAGATTGGAACTGGGTAGATTGGGTTGCCTTGGGTTTTAAACTATAAAATGTTTGCAAGTTTGCTCTACTTTCTGTAACTCAAGTCCCATGCTGATTAGTCTGAATTCTGGAGCTGTTCTATCAGCAGTGAACCTCTCAGGCAAACCTCTTGAACATGCTGCATAACAATTAATATTCATTAATTAGTATCATAATCAGATTTAATTGTAGCTTATGATTTTTCTACTTTTTAAAATTAGAATTCAGTGTTGCATATAACATTTAAAAACTATTTCTCATGCATAGTTTCTATTTAAACAACTTGCAGTATAAACTAAAATTACTGATAAGCGCAGCTATGATGGCTGTTATATGTTGATTTTTGTTGACATCATCCTAGGACCTTCTATAATATCTCAAAAAGTCTTTTTGCATTATCCCAGGACAGCCCCCTTATCTTGTTTTCTTTCTGTATCTGGAAGGTGGGTTGTTGTTGTTTTTTGGTTGGTTGGTTTTTGCAGTTGTGATGCTGGTGATTGAAGGCTGGAGAAAGTGTTGGGTTGCAGCCCCATGTCTGCAGTAAACAATGCAATAAAGTTTGACCTAGAAAAGACTGGGCTTCTGCTCTAAGTGATCCTACTGTAGCTGTGTGTGTTTATGCACAATAGGCAAGGCAAACAGCTGCCTCCAGAATCAATTGGGAGATTATTATACATGCCTTATCCTGTCTTTTTCCTGATGGGATAGATGCATGTTTTACTATCAAAGATGGGTCTTATCATATTCTCCCAGGTCCAGGTGTATGCAACCCTTATGAAATAAGGCCCCAAAAGGGAGACTATCGCAAAAGCAAGTTAAACCAGCTTACCTGAGTCGGCTGAAAATTTAAAATGGGAGGTGTCCTGATTTTATCTCAAGGATTTAGCCACCAAAATAGCTACCTGGGTGCAGTCCAGGTTTATTGCTGTTCCCAGGGGCATGCAGTGCGGCTTTTTTCAAAGGAGCCCTGGTGGCACAGTGGTTAAATGCCTGTACTGCAGCCACTCACTCATAGACCACAAGGTTGCAAGTTCAATACTAGCCAGGGCTCAGGCTAGACTCAGGCCTGCATCCTTCCGCAGTTGCTAAAATTAGTACCCAGATGTTGGGGGGCAATGAGCTTACAATTGTAAACCGCTTAGACACTGCATAGTGCAGCATGAAGCGGTATATAAATGAAGCTGCTTTGCTTTTAATGAATATTTATGATCTAATATAACTTTTTAATCAAAATTTTTGCTGGTGAAGTAATTCCCCTGACTTTATCAAAATGCCATGTGCTTGCTCCACCCCTGCAAAAATCTTAGTATTTCCATGTCATTTGAAGACATGTGTGGGTTTGCATGCACGACTGACTGAGTGAGATAATTCATGGTTAACACTACTGTCACACTGTGCAGTAAGTACAGTTCCACATATCAGCCCTTTATGGGAATGTGTTAATGTGTTTCAGTGACATAGGGCCAAAACACACCACAGAAATAATCCAGTTTGAGACTGCTTTAGTGCTAGGGAATTCTGGGAATTGTAATTTGTTGTGGCACCAGAGCTCTCTGGCAAGAATGCTAAATGCCTCACAAAGCTACAGTTCCTAGAATTCCCTAGCATTGAGCCAGAGCAGTTAAAGTGATATCAAACCAGATTATTTCTGCAGTGTGTTTTGGCCCATATTTAAACAAGTATTTTTCCTCATAGGAAAATCCCTATGAGGTGGCAATGGCATTGGATGTCAATGCACTTAAAGTATTGTGCCCAGATATTTTTGGAGAATGTCTACATCATCCATACTCAGTCAAGGCCTATTTATTTCTGCAATGTTGACTGAGAGGGCTGGCATCACACATAACAAATTGGCTCACACGGTTATTCTTGATGACTGAGTTGGAGACTGATGTAGGGCCAAATTACTCAGGTGCAAGAGATCCATAGGTGTCTCCTAACTTTTCTTTTGTTGCAGAGGACTCTTTATATGGGATTAGAGGTGGGAAAGTGTTCTTAACACTTTTTTGTTAGAGACATTTTCCTAAATGATTCCCCCCCAACAGGTGTTTTCTCCTTCCAGTGGTTCTATTTCTGGGGAAAAAGCAACAACCCTATTTTCTTGTTTGATTTCTGAGATCTGCTGGCAGACCTGTTCTGTTAATGGAACTGCTCTGCTGGCAAGAGATCTAAAATATGATAGAGAGGTACAGGGGACAGACTAAGGAGATTATCACACTGGCTGTTTTCTCCCAATCTGGACATGGGCTGAGATGGTATAAAAACAGATATTATCACACAGCTTTGTGCCCAGATTGGAGGCATCCCATATCCAACTGGGACTTCTGTACTGAGCTAAAAACAATTCTTATCCATTCATTGCTCAGTTTGGGAGGAGTCCCAATTGGGTTTGGGATGCCTCCAATCTGGGCATGAAGCTGTGCAATAACATCTGTTTTTACACAGATGTTACATGCCCTGATCGACAAAAAAAGCACTGTGACTGATCCAAACCTCTCAGCCCAAAAAACAAAGTGCCATCACACAGTTAGGCCAGGGTGAACATCAGCTTAAATGATTTCCCAAATCCCCATGCTATGAAGGATTTGGATCCTGCACAACTTCAACTGGCCTGGCCTTGATCTATTTGGCTAGTTAGGATGGCTCGACTCATTATTTAATATTTACTCCCAGAGAAGTGTGCACAGGATAGCAGCATAAAAGTGCTCAAATTTGGCTGGACTGTGTCCTAAGTTAGGGTCTGAGATGGTGGCTTATATATGAAATATAAGAGATCTGCTACACTTCTCTCTTTCTCTCTCTCTCATTCTTAAAAAAAAAAGAGATCGATATATCATCTGTGTTATCTATATTTATATCTCTGCATCAATCTTCTAGATCAATTGATCCTGTTTCTATGCAGGAGCTCACTCACCCTTAGTCTCTCCCTCCTCTGTGTGCTTCTATGTGATACTTTCTTCACACTGTTTTAAGGTCTCATTGTTCTTTCTGTGCATAGGAATTCAAGGGAGAGTTGTCACCAGTAATTTCTACAGAGATTTTTAAAAACCCATGTCTCCCTCCCTTATTGGTTTAATCAAGAGTCACGGCTCCCTAAGCTTGCTTTGAAAATTATTACCTATCAGTAAGACGAAAGACCAACACATGAGCTATTGACAGCAAGGAAGGAGAAGGAGAAGCTCTTTTTGACAGCTATTGAGATAAGAGTTCCTTTTTTTTCCTTGCAGCCTACCTGAAATTTTAAAAAAGGAAAGGAAACAAAAGAAAGAAAACAACTTTGTAGTATGATTAAGATTTTTCTGAGGGGAAGAGCCCTCGTTCAAGGATTTGTGAGAGCTCAAATAATTGGTTTTTCCTTTTATCCTCTTGTTGCATGGGAGATATACCCAATGAGTGATATAGAGAGTTGTTGCTGTGTGCCATGAAGTCATTTCTAACTTATGGGGACCCTAAGGTGAACCTGTCATGGGGTTTTCTGGACAAGA